CAAAACACCTCAAACAACACCAAATCCATCAATTCACATCGAATTCAAGCCTAAGTTTTCTAAAAACTTCCGAAATACGCTTTCGATCAAAAACTCAACCAAACCACGTCCGAATGACCTGAAATTTTGCACACACATCTCAAATGACATAACGAAGCTACAACAACTCTCGAAATTCTATTCCGACCCTCGGATCAAAATCTCACCTATCAACCGGAAATCGCCAAAATACTAACTTCGCCAATTCAAGCCTAATTCTACACCGGACCTCCAAAACCAATTCCGATCACACTCCTAAGTCATAAATCATCTCCCGAAGCTATCCGAACCATCGGAACTCGCATCCGAGCCCTCAAACACATAAGTCAACATCCGGTTGACTTTTCCAACTTAAACCTTCTTAAAAGAGACTAAGTGTCTCATTTCTTACCAAATCCAATACGAACGCAAACTAATCAACTTGATCACATAAAACACGCATAACGAAGCATAAAGAAGCAGAAATGGGGGAAACGGACCGGTAACTCATGAGACGACTGGCCGGGTCGTCACAACAACGAAGGCCGTGGTCGAAGAGTCAACAGAGACTGAAGTCGAGGAGTCGTCAAAGATCGAGGCCGAGGTCGAATACTCTTGACAGAGTTATAACAGTTAGTTTCAAGATAGGACATTAAAGAGAATATTCTAGTGAATATATTCTACACTTACTATTAGGATTTTTAAGAATATGTTCCCTACAAATAGAAAGAGACACAATGATAGGAGGGGGAGAATTCAATTATAAAATATACATCTATATTATATTAAAAGGAGAGTAGTGAAGCATGTGGTTAAGCCAAGTGGCAAGCTAAAAAGAAGCCACTTGGCAATTTTAATACAACATTAAAAATTCGAATTATAAATGAAAACATAATTAATGTAAGTAGTTTAATAAATCTTATACTCAATCTAAATAAATCTTAGACAAATCTAATCTATATATCTACATTTAAATTTATATTTATATGTATATTTGAAGATATATCTCTAAGATATCAGCTGGTATGGCTCTGCAGGCGCACGATTAGCGAGGATAGCTAATGGACGCCATCCGCCATGACAAAGCAACGA